CAGGTCCCCCTGTTGTCACAGAGGTAAACAACAACAACAATCAGCAGCGCCCCCTGCTGTCACAGAGGTAAAAAACAACGATTTTCAGCAGCGCCCCCTGCTGTCACAGAGGTAAACAACAACAACAATCAGCAGATACACCTGCTGTCACAGATGTAAACAACAACAAAAACAATAATTAGCAGGTCCCCCTTCTGTCACAGAGGTAAACAACAACAACATTTAGCAGTGCCCCTGCTGACACAAAGGTAAACAACAACAACAACTATAATCAGCAGAGCCCCCTGCTGTCTTGGGGGTTCTGGTGTTCGAAACTTGACACAAATTAATCAGCAGATCCTGTGGGGTCCTGAGGTAAAAGCAGTAAGATCCTCCATATGATTATGTAAATATGAGGTCAAAGGTCAGGTCCAGAAATTGACAGATGTTTAGAGACCCTCTAGTTCTGGACCAGCTTCAGTAGTCACAGGATGTTTCAGTGTCTCAAACCCAGAGCAGGTGATCCAAGCTAAAGAACTGAAGCTCTGTGATTGGTGAGCTGCTGCTGAGGTGCATTTTGGGAGTTGTAGTTTCCTTGCAACACTGAACATTGAGCTGACTGTGTGTGTGAGGAGTGAGTTCTAGACAAGCTATTTAAGTGTTCAGACCTTTTCTTGGGGTTCTGGTTCAGGACATTAGACTTCAGTACAGTGGTGCTTGAAAGTTTGTGAAGCCTTTGTAATTTTATATATTTCTGCATAAATATGACCTAAAACATCAGATTTTCACACAAGTCCTAAAAGTAGATAAAGAGAACCCAATTACCGGTAAACAAATGAGAGAAAAAATTATACTTGGTCACTTATTTATTGAGTCCTCGAGGCTCAATGGGATTTACCTGTCTAAATAAAGGTTGAATGAATATTGGGGGAAATGATACAATATTACATATTTGTGAGTGGCAAAAATATGTGAACCTTTGCTTTCAGTATCTGGTATGACCCCCCCATGCAGCAGTAACTTCAACTAAATATTTCCTGTAACTGTTGATCAGTCCTGCACACCGGCTTGGAGGAATTTGAGCCCATTCCTCTGTACAGAACAGCTTAAGCTCTGGGATGTTTGTGGGTTTCCTCACATCAACAGCTCACTTCAGGTCCTTCCACAACATGTGGATTGGATTAAGGTCAAGACTTTGACTTGGTCATTCCAAACATGAACTTTATTCTTCTTGAACCATTCTTTGGTAGAACCACTTGGGGTCATTGTCTTGCTGCATGACCCACCTTCTCTTGAGGTTCAGTTCATGCACAGATGTTCTGACATTTTCCTTTAGAAATCTCTGATATAATTCAGAAATCATTGTTCCATCAATGATGGCAAGCCATCCTGGCCCAGATGCAGCAAAACAGGCCCAAACCATGATACTACCACCACCGTGTTTCACAGATGGGATAAGTTCTTATGCAGGAATGCAGAGTTTTCCTTTCTCCAAACATAACACTTTTCATTTAAACCAAAAAGTTTTATTTTGGTCTCATCCATCCACAAAACATTCTTCCAACAGCTTCTGGCTTGTCCACTTGATCTCTAACAAACTGCAGACGAGCAGCAATGTTGTTTTTGGAGAGCAGTGGCTTCTCCTTGCAACCCCGCCATGCACACTATTTTTGTTCAGCGTTCTCCTGATGGTGGATTTGTGAACATCAGCATTAGTCAATGTGAGAGAGGCCTTCAGTTGCTTAGAAGTTACCCTGGCATTCTTTGTGACCTCGCTGACTATTACACGCCTTACTCTTGAAGTGATCTTTGTTGGTCGACTACTCCTGGGGAGGGTAACAGTGGTCTTGAATTTCCTTCATTTGTACACAATAAGCACTAATAACATAAAAACATTACGTCGAACATCAGCACAAACATGAACATGAGTCTGTGTGAGCAGATGAGCATGCATGAACACATCAACATTGAAACAGATCAGCAGCAACATGAAACAGATCAGCAGCACCATGATGTGATTTTTTCCACAGTGATTATTCTGGTTAGAGATTCATGAGTCTAACAGCCTCAGGGTAGAAGCTGTTCCTCAGTCTAGTGGTTCTACACTTAATGCTCCTTAACCTCCTTCCTGAGGGGAGCGAGGCAAAAAGTGTGTGTGCTGGGTGAGTGGGGTCTTTCATGATGCAGGTAGCCCTCTTCCTACATCTGGAGGTGTAGATGTCTGTGATGGTGGGGAGGCTGACTCCGACAGTCTTCTGTGCAGCCTTCACCACTCTCTGCAAAGCTTTTCTTTCTGCAGCTGTGCAGCCTCCATGCCACACGTTGATGCTGGAGCACAGGATGCTCTCCACTGCACACCTGTAGAAGGAGGTGAGGACTGAGCTTCCCAGACCAGCTCGTCTCAGGCGTCTGAGGAAGTAGAGTCTCTGATGAGCTTTCTTGATCAGGCTGGTGGTGTTGTTGCTCCAGCTGAGGTTGTCATTCAGGTGTACACCCAAGTACTTGTAGCTGGAGACCACTTCCACCACAGATCCTCTTATGTTCAGGGGGGTGTAGATGTTTTTGTTCCTTCTGAAGTCCACAATCATCTCCTTTGTCTTCTTCACATTGATGTGAAGGTTATTCTCTTTGCACCAGTTCAATTTTTCTCAATAAATAAATGACCAAGTAAACATTTTTGTTACATTTGTTTAACTGGGTTCTCTTTATTTACTTTTTGGACTTGTGTGAAATTTGATGATGTTTTGGGTCATAATTATGCAGAAATATATAAAATTCTAAAAGCTTCACAAACTTTCAAGCACCACTGTAGATCAGCTCAGGTGGTCTCAGAGACAGAATCAGAACCGTTTGTCTGCAGGATGTTTGTTTCTTACTTCCTGTCCTTGAGTCTGGAATTAGAGGAAACAATGAGGGGAAACACACACACACACACACACACACACACACACCTTAGATCAGACTTCCTGACGTTTGAACTTTGACCATGTCTGTGGTCTGCAGTCTGATTGGATGGTGAGACCATCGTCAAAGATTAGACTATCCAATCAGAGGGTAGATACTTGAGGCTCCACCTACTGCTGTCAGTTCTCTGTGCTCTGAGCCAATCAGATTTAAGCAATTCTATAAATGCCTAAACTTGTATTCACTTCAGGCAGTTTCCTTTAAATCAGAAATGTTTTTTAATAAACCTGAGAGGATTCCTTTAAAACGTAGTTTTTAATTAAAAACTTCCTGCTGCCGCCCGTTTCTAAACTGTTGGACTTTATTTGTGTTTCTGCAGCACAGCTAGTCCAAAGAGTTCATCTTTAAGTCTCCACAAAAACATTGATTTTATCTGACGGGTCCTTGTTTACACAACAACCAGAAGAAAAGAGCAGCAGACGGTGCATGAGAAACGTGCACGAAAACAACAACTAACATGGTGCATATCCAAGCTGCTGGGAACACTGGGTCAGGTGTTCACACCTGAAACAAGCTGTCTCTAACTCCTAGTTGAGACAGAACCCTTGGAGTGGGTCAGAACTCTGGAGATGTTTCTTGATGAAAAACAACTTCAAGAACCTTAAAGACCAGAAAAGCTGAAAGGACCAGAAGAACCTGTAAGACTAGAAGAATCTGTAGATCCAGAACAACTAGAAGAATCTGTAGATCCAGACGAATCTAAAGGACCAGAAGAACCTGAAGAATCTATGATGGTTTACGACCAACAGGATGTCCACTGGTGCTTCAGATTCCACCAAAAGGTTTAAAATGTTGAGTTATAGATTGATCTTTAATATTTATATTTATATCTGTACTTATATCTATATCTACACTATCTGTAGGATTCTATCTTATCTTACAGAAGTCTGTACTCATATTTTTATCCATAGGGTTTAGATCTAGCCGCACGGTGACTCAGTTACTACAGCTGTTGCCTCTCAGGGAGAAGGTTGTTGGATTGATTCCCAGCCAGGGACCTTTCTGGATGAAGTTTTCATGTTCTCTCCATGCTGCGTGGGTTTTCTCCAGATACTCCGGTTTCCTCCCACAGACCAAAAACATGCATACTAGACTGACTGGTAACTCTAAATTGTCCCTAGGTGTGAGTGAGAGAGTGAATGGTTGTTTGTCTCTGTGTCCCTGTGATAGACTGGAGACCTGTCCAGGTATCCCGGTGATGAACTGGAAACTTCTCCAGGTGTCCTTGTGATAGACTGGAAACCTGTCCATCACAGGAACACCTGGACAGGTATCCAGTCCATTGCTGGTGTCCCTGTGATGGACTGTCCAGGGTGCCCCCCGCCTCTCATACAGTGACCGCTGAAAATGGGCACCAGTGGCCCCACGAGCTGTAAAGGAAGAAGTG